TCTTTAGGTATTATTGTTTATTTTTAAAACAATTTGTATGATTTCTTTCTTCTGCATATGTTACATTAGATGACCGACTGCTACTACTACCCAAGGCGTTTTTTATCAATGTAACACATCATGACTATAAACAACCAAAGATATAACTCTAAACCAGCTCAACAAAAAACACCTAAAACCCCTTCACCTTTCCTTTTCCAACAATCGTGGTATTCGCACCAACTTCTGTGGTGTGGAATCGTTCTTCTTTGAAAAAATATTCTCCGAACATCCCATTTCTTTGCGAAATTAACTTTAACTCTTCAATCCCCATCTTATGATTTCTTGATTCCTGGCTACCTCCCTCTACTTAGAAAGAAAGTCCACATGCACGGGCTGGGAGTTTATGTCCGCGAACATCTCCCGTTGGCTAGGGAACTCTCTGTTGAATCTCCAAACCATTCTTACATGTGTCTCCGTCTCTCTCTACTTAACTCAGCTATCTCTTCTTTCTCTACTGCTACCTTTGCTGTTAAGATTGTAGATCGTGCTTCCGATAATAGAGACAAGACCATTTCCCTACACCCGTTTGCAAACATTCGTATTCGGTGACTTTAATGCCTACCATACCAGTTGGCTTAAACATTCTGTCACTGACCTCGCTGGCATCCAAACAGTGAACTTTTCAATCACTCAACCTCTCACGCAAGTGGTGGACTTCCCCAGATGTTTCCCCAGTAACCCTAACGGAAACGCTTCTCTTCTCGATCTCTTTTTTACCTCTATCCCGGACTCATGTCGTACTATGCATTTCTGTTCTCTTGGCAACTCTGATCGTGCAGTAGTGTCTGTAAACATCTCCTTCCCCTCCCTCGCCAGCTAACAGCCACTAACTAACACAATATCTTTATGTTATCAACGAACAGATTGGGATTCGTTCCGTGATTTCCTTCGTGACGTCCCATGGAAAGAAGTGGGTGAGAACCGGCATCAATGCTTTCATTCCAGCAAGGAAATACCAAGTTAACCTGCGTTCATCTGCGTTCTTGCCTGCATGATCTGCCGCTATAGCCCACAGGAACCACTTCTTCCGTCTGTACCAGAGTGGTACGTCGGATTGCAAAAGACGTCTCTTTGTCTATGCTCGTAACGAGTGCAAGCGTGCCCTCAATGAAACGAAGTTACTGTTTGCTGATAGAATGAAACAATGTCGCAAGTTCGGTTTCAAAGATTATTGGCGCCTCTGCAAGAGTGTTCTAAACAATAGCAAATCCTCAATCCCTACCCTATTCAATCAATTCGAAATCCTGACGTCTACTGACGTCTAATGCTTTGCTTGGAAATTCTCAACCAACTCAATACTCAACTCATCTGATTTTCCTCCTAGAATTGAAGCTATACTGAGTGATATACGCATAACCCCGTCACTGGTCTCAGATATCATTTCTAAATTAGACTCCCATAAGGCAAATGTAGGTTACAAGATACCAGCCGTCGTCATAAAGAAATGTGCTCCCAAATTGGCCCCAGTTCTTTCCAAACTCTACAACTATTGTCTCGCTGCTTTCCAGCTTGTTCGAAGCCCTCTTCTGTAGTCCCTGTTTTTAAGAATATTGGATAATCTTCTGACCTTTCTAACTATCGCCCTATTAGTATCCTACCTTTTTCGGCCAAGTATTCGAGACTTTAATCAATGCTGAAGTGGTTAAGCATCTCACGAATGTCAAATAATAGGGATTTCGTTTTGCCCAATCGACTGCTGATGTGCTTTCGGCCATTACTAAATATGTATATCAAGCTTTGGATAATAACGGCGAAGCTCGTGCTATGGCTCTAGATATCTCGAAGGCATTTGACAGGATTTGGTATGCTGGTCATCAACATAAGCTTCAGAGCTACAGTATTACAGGACATTTGTTTGATTTAATCCAATTATTCCTATTAAGTCGTAAAAGAGTAGCAGCTAGATTAACTATGTCAGCTCTGACGGGTTTACTATTGAGACAGGAGAAAAATGTCGTGTCATCTGCATAAACGGGCTCAATTCCAGATCCTTTCACACGAACGTGGGTGTCCCACAAATCTCTATATTGGAACCTACGCTGTTTCTGATCTTCATCAATGATCTCCTTGATATCAGTTGCCAAGTAGGCATTTATGCAGATGATACTACCTTTTTCTCCTATCTCAATAGTAAATCCGTCAGAGCTGACAAAGTTAATCTAGCTGCTACTCTTGTAAAGGACCTCCAATCAGTGGCTAACTGGGACAGGAAATGGATTGTAAATTTTAATGCCTGCAAAACGAAACTGCTCGCATTTAACCACCATAGAGAAACTTCCCTATCCACCATGGAGCATGGTTGATGCTAGACTCCGGGAGAGTGTCTCATTGAGTCTTCTTGGCCTCACGTTTTCAACTGACTTGAAGTGGAACAACTACATTGAATCAATAGCTGCATCTATTGCAAGAAAATTTTCTTCACTGTGTTGTGCTAGAAGGCTTTCCTCGTCAGAGTCTATCTTGCATATTTAGAAATCTACCATTCGTCCTTGCATTGAATACTATTGTCGTATCTGGTCCCTGCTGTTCATCTCGAGGTTCTTGACAAAATCCAAAGTAGGATCTGAAATGTAATCGACCCAGACTTGGCATCTCGACTTCAGTCACTTTCTCACAGATGTGATGTGGCTTTTCTATAAGTGTTTTCATGCCAACTGCTCAGACTAGGTTTTTTTCCTTGGTGTCCCGACTACATGAATTTATGCGTGCTACTAGATTGGCATCTGTCCCATTCTTTTACTCTTGAAATAGTTAAATTTAACCGTCACTTTTACTCAAACTGTTTCTTTTCTCACACTTCCTGACAGTGGAACTACCTTCCGCTTACTTGCTTCTCTGATAACTACAATCTTCAAACATTTAAATGCAATATCAACCGCCATCTTCTGTTGACTTGAAGCCCGTTCATCTTTTATCCTTTCCTCAATCCCCCCCCTCTATACACAATCTTTTCTATGACTTTCACTCTCTGTAACTCCCCTGCGTACTAGTGACACTCCCGCTTTGGTTGGGATGACATTATTAAAAAATTTAAATTTAAATTTAAAAAAATATTCACATTCCAGACAAGGGTGATTTGCCAGCCCCGTTTCTCCCACATAAAAAAAAACACTTCTGCTACATGCCTCTCATCCATAATTACTTGAATCTGGAATCTTTTCTTGAATTTCTTGAACCACCCAGTACTTTCTACAAATTCCTGACTGTAGTCTTCTCATGTGCACTCCTTGAAAGTCTGAAATAGACTTCTACCCTTCGTCTGCATACTAAAAAGACTGAACGGAACCTTTTTTTAAAATCTGTTATTCCATCCTCATATGCAGCAATTTCTCCATTTTGCGAATGGGCACGGTCTGCAGCTACGTTATAACGTTCGATCGTATAGGTACAGAACTTTTCACAGCATTACAAATTCTTTCCCTGTCCACCAAAATCTTCAACAGTAGAGCGTGATAACTTCAGATTGCGTGTGATCATACCCAATTTCTTTCCTCTTTCCTACTGTTTAATTACCTTCATTTTTGTGTCCAGATCAATTGACTTTTTTCCTTCTTGGCAATTTCCTCGTGGTAGACATATTTGGGGTAGGGTTGAATATAAATTTCACAAGGCACAAACGAACTCTGAGGAAAGTGTATCATAATGAGGTTTCCGTAATACTGAGAGAGAGGGGCGCATAGAGTTGCTGGAGCTGCTGCGAGCTGGGACAGAAATTGTCGTACAGAAAGCTGAGAACCACTTATGCTTGTTAGCAGAGGAAGAGCATTCGTGCCCAGACGGCCAGACATATCAGTTCTAACGCTGCTGTGAGCTGAGACAAAAATTATCGTACACAATGCTGAGAACCACTCATGGTTGCTAGCTAACGGAGTGCATTCGTGCCCAGGCGGCCAGATAAATCAATTCTAGCGCTGCTGTGAAGTTAGACAGAAATTGTCCTACATAAAGCTGAGAAGCACTCATGCCTGTTAGTAGATGGAGGGCATTCGTACCCAGAAGGCCAGACATATCAGTTCTAGCGCTGCTGTGGGCTGAGACAGAAATTGTCGTACACAAAGCTGAGAACCACGCATGGTTGTTAGCAGACGGAGAGCATTCGTGCCCAGACGTTCAGACATATCAATTATAGTGCTGCTGTGAGCTGGGAGAGAAAATGTCGTACACAAAGCTGAGAACCACGCATGGTTGTTAGCAGACAAAGAGCATTCGTGCCCAGACGGTCAGACATATAAATTATAGCGCTGCTGTGAGCTGGGACAAAAATTGTTGTACACAAAGCTGAGAAGCACTCATGCTTGTTAGCAGACGGAGAGCATTCGTGCCCTGATGGCCAGATATATCAATTCTAGCGCTGCTGTGAGCTGGAACAGAAAGTGTCGTAAACAAAGCTGGTAACCACTCATGCTTGTTAGCAGACGAAGAGCATTCGTGCCCAGACGGTCAGACATATCAATTCTAGCGCTGCTGTGAGCTTGGACAGAAATTGTTGTACACAAAGCTGAGAACCACGCATGGTTGTTAGCAGACAAAGAGCATTCGTGCCCAGACGGTCAGACATATAAATTATAGCACTGCTGTGAGCTGGGACAAAAATTGTTGTACACAAAGCTGAGAAGCACTCATGCTTGTTAGCAGACGGAGAGCAATCGTGCCCAGACGGCAAGACATATCAATTCTAGCGCTGCTGTGAACTGGAACAGAAAGTGTCGTACACAAAGCTGGTAATCACTCGTGCTTGTTAGCAGACGGAGAGCAATCGTGCCCAGACGGCCAGACATATCAATTCTAGCGCTGCTGTGAGCTGAGACAGAAATTGTCCTACATAAAGCTGAGAAGCACTCATGCTTGTTAGCAGATGGAGGGCATTCGTGCCCAGACGGCCAGACATATCAATTCTAGCGCTGCTGTGAGCTGGGACAGAAATTGTCGTACACAAAGCTGGTAATCACTCGTGCTTGTTAGCAGACGGAGAGCAATCGTGCCCAGACGGCCAGACATATCAATTCTAGCGCTGCTGTGAACTGGAACAGAAAGTGTCGTACACAAAGCTGGTAATCACTCGTGCTTGTTAGCAGACGGAGAGCAATCGTGCCCAGACGGCCAGACATATGAATTCTAGCGCTGCTGTGAGCTGGGACAGAAATTGTCGTACACAAAGCTGGTAATCACTCGTGCTTAAATTAGCAGACGGAGGGCATTCGTGCCAGACGGCCAGACATATAACAATTGTAGCGCTGCTGTGAGAAGGGACAGAAATTGTCGTACACAAAGCTGAGAACCACGCATGGTTGTTAGCAGACGGAGAGTATTCGTGTCCAGACGGCCAGACATCAATTCCAGCGCTACTGTGAGCTGGAACAGAAAGTGTCGTACACAAAGCTGGGAAGCACTCATGCTTGTCAGCAGACGGAGAGAATTCGTGCCCAGACGGCCAGATATATCAATTCTAGCGCTGCTGTGAGCTGAAACAGAAATTGTCCTACATAAGCTGAGAAGCACTCATGCTCGTTAGCAGATGGAGGGCATTCGTGCCCAGACGGCCAGACATATTAATTCTAGCGCTGCTGTGAGCTGGGACAAAAATTGTTGTACACAAAGCTGAGAAGCACTCATGCTTGTTAGCAGACGGAGAGCAATCGTGCCCAGACGGCCAGACATATCAATTCTAGCGCTGCTTTGAATCGAGTCTGAAATTGTCCTACACAAAGCTGAGAATCACTCATGATTGTTAGCAGACGGAGGGCATTCCTGCCCAGACGGCCACACATATCAATTCTAGAGCTGCTGTGGGCTGAAATTGTCGTACACAAAGCTGGGAACCACTCATGCTTGTTAGCAGACGGAGAGCAATCGTGCCCAGACGGCCAGACATCAATTGTAGCGCTTCTGTAAGCTGAGGCAGAAATTGTCGTACAGAAAGCTGGGAACCACTCATGATTGTTAGCAGACGAAGTGCATTCGTTCCCTGGGCGGCCAGACATATTAATTCTAGCGCTGCTGTGAGCTGAGACAGAAAATGTCGTATACAATGCTCACAATCACTCATGCATGTTAGCAGACGAAGAGTATTCGTGCCGAGACGGCCAGACATATCAATTCTAGCCTCTGCTGTGAGCTGGGACAGAAATTGCCGTACACAAAGCTGAGAGCCACTGATGCTTGCTAACAGACGAAGAGCATTTGTGCCCAGACGGTCAGACATATCAGTTCGTAGTGGTGGTCGTAAAGTTGAATAATGGCATGTCCCACAATTTGTAAGTCTACCAGTCCTATACAAAGTCGTATAAGTCTGGCGAAAACCGCAATACCAAATCATCTCAAACTTCATCAGGAGAGGAAATGAAAATCCTAATCTATTTCATCTCTTACTAGACTCTGCTCGGCATACATTCAAGTACGTATGCAAAGATTATTTAAGCATTTCATACAATATCTCAAACGAATTTGTTAATAGCAAACACCATTTCTGTTTTCCCTCCCAAAACCATTGTACTGATAATGAGTTGGATGGGGGAGGGGGTTATGCCGATGACATAGGGATAAGAATCACTCTGAACAAAAATAAACCATCTAAGTGTTCCGAGGAGTAGCGCTCAAGATAAATATTTTCAAACAGCGTCTATGATCTGGAATTAGGATGAAAGCAGTGATGCATCTACTATGAATCCATCATAAAAATTCAGGAAGTACAATGAATTAAGTACGTCGGAGTATCGTTATTTACATTAGTTTCTGGATTTTCTGCGTCAACGTCCTCCATATCTTCTGCGTACAACCAACCGTTCCGTCATCTACTACGCATAATGTTTTTAGCTATAAAATCAACAGCAGATGCTGCTGATGTAGTGTCTGTTACGTACCGGTGGCTGCCTGGACAGAATCTTCGGACTTGTTTTATACCCTGACCCAGTTATTTCGGGAAAAACTCGGGCTAGGAAATCCCCACGTTAAAAAAAACGGCCTCGTGTCACATACTGCCTTGTGGGGAGGACTTGGTTAAATACTCCGAGATTAAGTTTTCCGTCACCTCTCCCGCTCCCTGGACAGAATCCTCGGACCTGTTCCGTAGTGATGGTATTTGACTAGCTATAACTAGCTATGACTAGCTAAGACCAGTTTTGATCTGTGGCCCGGGTTAAAACAAACTGACCTTGTGTCACTCAATGGGGAGTCAAAGGTAAATATCCAGGGGATAGGTTTTCTGTCTATACTTTTCAGTGACCCTACTTACGTGGTTGATGCACTTTTAGCCAGCGAGAGAGCCTTGGGTTGTTTAGTGACCCTGTTCTTCTGTATAGTATGATGCCTACTTCCCATATCCAAGATAGAAATCTTTAGATTCGTATTTTTTTCTTATTTCCCGGGTTACCGTGCGATTCACTATCTTTAGCAGTAGGTCATCTGTAACCGCTATGCCCAACGGTTTGATACGTGATCCTGAGCAACGGTCAACTCTCATGAGGTCCTGCTGTATTAGTCGAACCCATATGTGGCCCACACGGTGTGCTTGGTTACGGGTGTGATCTAATGTTGTAGTGGACGTTCTAACTTGTGCTTTGAGAATCTTTTTCAGGACTAAGACTCTGTTTTCCCCTAATTACAGGGTATGCGATTAGCATTTGTTATTTTAAAGGCAATGTTTTTTTCTTTCCTCTGACTGCATTCGTCAGCCTACCAACTTTTTTTCTACTTTGAACATTTCTCATTACTAGATTTCGAGTTCCGAACCACTGTTTTCATGTTTTCTTCGGAACGATTTTCAACATAATTTGCATTTTCTCTCCTAGATTTGTATTGTTATTTACCAAAAATAAATTTTGGCATATTTTGTTTGAATTCCTCGTTTTTGTTGTCCTTGCGTTTAACCTGTAAGATCATTGAGGTTTTATTTTTTATCATATTCTTAAATAGCCTCCTCAGATCGATATATTCATAGGGATATCATGCATTGCGTCTAACCCTGTCAGTTTTCTTAGATAAGTGATTAAAATAGCTTCAAACGAATGAAGCCTATAGGTCCTTCTTCGAACCTCGTGCACTTTAGAATGACAAAGAACATTATCAAATAACAGAAGCTATATAACTCGAACAGAAACTAATGACATAATGATGATACTGACGTTACACACTATGGTGACAGAGAAATAAATAAAAAACAAGAAGACCAAAATTTAATCATATCTAAAAATAGTCAAATAATAAAACTCGACAGGCAAACAAAGTCATAGTTCGACCAACCAATCATAAAGCTTTCACAACCAGGATGTAAGAAAACAAATAAACAAATAATTACAAGGAGACAGGAATTTCAAAAAATTGATACTTCAACCAAACAAGGCAAAAGCTTTCACAGCCTGGATGTAAGACTCAAACCAATGAGAAGCGGATCTATAGATATGTATATAAACAAATGGAATATCAACCAAAACTAGAATCGATAAATTAATTTTGCCCATCCTCCGATTCTGCAATCATCGTAACATACCCAGAGACGAAATACATTTGCAAAAGTAGCTAGTACTTCTATATTTAAAAATATATATCTTCCTTCGTCCCCATTATTAAGAAGACGGTTACAACGTTCTGATAAATTTAAAAACATCCATAACTGATAATCCCTCTGACTACTATCACACTACTTTAAACAAAAGGTTAGGAAGGAAACTGCTACTAATAATAGAAAGAACAATGACAGTTACTGGACGTGAAAAATGTATTTTCCAGAAAGAAAATTTCAGCCTACAGTATCATTGGCTGCTCGGTCAGTGAATGCAAAATGTTTACTTATAAGGAAACAGTTTAAAATCTCATTATCATAATTAATTTAATTTTTCAAAATATTTTCTTTCATTTTTATTTATCCAAGAAAAATGAAAAAACGGATACTTGAGGCAATACAGAACAAGAAAATTAAGACCTAAATATCAATAACATTTTACATGGTGTATATGAAAACCCCAGTGTACTAATGTTAGGAAAATACCCTACAGTACTAACCGTAAGTTAATTATACCAGATATTGATTCTCTTACTTTAAACGCTGTTTTTCTGTGTTTTAATGATTGATCTTAATTGCTGTCTATTAAGGAACCATCATTAATCGACTTTGAAACAAACCTTAAGTTAAAAAAATGTTTGCAATCGGCTAAACGTATCTGTCTATATCACTGAAATGTGGTATTATGATTATTTACATTATTTAAAATATTCGAACTGTTATCCTCATCTTCATTGCCATGTTCACAACGTCTGGATAAAGGCGTTGGCTAGATCCAGTGGCTAGACCCAAAGAGTTGTGAGTTCAATACCAGGCTACAGTAGTGACGAACCAAAAAACTTGGAGAGTTGAGACAAAAGGAAATAACTAAGACAACCGGAAGAGGCCTGACATGTGGAACTAGAACAATTTACCCCAGTGGACGAAATAAAGGGTTCAGTCCGAAATTCCAATTACCTGAAAAAGGCCGGAGCGTACAACGGCCGAAACGTTGTGAACATGACAATGAAGATGAGGATAACAGTCCGAATATTGTAAATAATGTAGGCAGTTAAACTAAGCCCAAACGTCATAACCGCAGATCAATTCAGAAATTTTCCCAGATTTTGCATATAATAAAGGCAGCTTTACTGTTAACAAGAGAAAAAAAGTAAAAGTGACAAAACAACAAATGGAGATACATAAAAGGGTTTCTATTTCTCGGGATCTACAACGTTTGATCTTTTGCCTGTTTCGGGGAGACTGAGAGTTTGTTTAGGGTATAAGACAATGCCATAATCGAGATAGTCACGTGTAGAAAATTAAAACGCATATTTAGTCGAGTGAGAATGACTCGTGGGAAAAATCAACGCGCATATATAGACGTGGGAGAAATATTCCACGAATCATCGCACTGTAGACGTCGAAAGTCTCTGTCGTTGCTGGTCGAAAACTTCGCTGTTGTTGAAGCGTCTTGGCGTATTGGTGTCGCTGTTTATGGTTTGGGTTGTCGTGTAGTTTGCCGCGGTCGGTTAAGCTTTACTGTCGTGTGTTTCGTCGCTAATGTTATATCAGATCTATCTTCGTAGGTGAAATCAGAGTTGGCTTTATAGTGAGTTAGTGGCTCAGAAATGGATGCTGCGAAAACCACATTGACCGTTTCTGATTGGCCAGAAAAAAAGTTTCATGACCTTTTGTGTCTTTTAACAATATTCCGGAAGTGAGTGCATGTAGCCGAACGAAATTTAGGTTTGTTTTTGTAATATGAGTTGTGGATGTCGAAGTGAGCACTTAAAGTTAAAGAAATGGAGTTCCAACATCATATAATTTTACACATCCATACTGTCTTGTCATGGGGGAAAACTGACAATATCTAGAAATTAATTTGATTGCATACTTCAATTAGCAGTTGTTTTTACCATTTTATTTAGTGCCCCAGAAAATAACACATTCTTGGAGGTTGTGTGACAATTTTCGCAAACTGTATAGTTATTGTTCCGATCCCGTACATACAAGATTTTACAGTCCAATTACGAAGAAAATTCATTTTTTAGTAAATTTACCTCATGCATACTTCATATATTTTAATAAAAACCATATATAACAATTTTGGTTTATTTGAATCCCTACGTTTACCTTTTTAAACTGAAAAACGTCATTTAGTTTTGTTTTTTTTTCTTTCTCTGAGATTTATTAATCATATTATTAATGGTTTATATTTCGATTTTTGTGATATCTTCATAGCCAGTTACTTTCAAGAAGAACATATATAAGAGTTTTTGATCATTTTCGAAAATATGAAATAGTTATAAATCCAATTATATGTCAATTCGGATAAAGCGAAATTAATTTTATTAGAAATAAAATCACTCAATCAGGAATTTGCTCATTATCGGACAAAACTTATGCCATACCTATTTATTTTTTTGCATCCACAAGGATAGAGAATCTTACATTTGTAGGCATGTTAACTATCTATCAACCTTTCATTCTGTGATGTGCTTGATGGTCATATTAAGAAAGAAAAGAAAAAGAAATAGAAATGTACAATATCCAGTTGTCAGACACTGCCTTAATAGCTTTTGAAAAGGTTAAAGATGATTTAGCTGATGCCATTCGTCTATTCTGATCTAGACGCTTATCTTTCACTAATAGTTGGTGTTTCAACATTTGCATTTGTAACTCGCATACTTTAACGCTGCATTGGTGACTTGTAGAAATTATCT